TCGATCAAAACCTTAGGACTCCAATGGGATCCGAAGAAGGATACATTTACGTTTTCGGCAGAAAACCCAATGCTAACACGCATAACAAAGCGGTTAGTATTATCACAGTTGTCCAGAATTTTCGACCCACTAGGATGGGTGGCACCTGTAACGATTCAAGGCAAATGTTTCATTCAGGAACTGTGGAAGTTACCGATGACTTGGGACGTTGAATTGGAATCCAACTTAGCAAACTGGTGGATGGAATATGCTAAAGGTCTATCAGATTTAAAAGAAATTAGCATTTCACGCTGGACTGGATGCTCCAAAGGTATTATGGAGCTACATGGATTCTGCAATGCATCAGAGAAAGCATATGCAGCGGCTGTGTATACAAAAGTAGGCGGCAGAGTTACTTTGCTAGCAGCAAAAAGAAAAGTAAATCCTATAAAAAACAGGAAAACAATTCCAAAGTTGGAATTATGTGCTGCGCATTTACTAGCAAAGTTATTAGCGAAAGTGCAGGCTATATGGAGCAACAAGATTACAACGCATGCATGAAGTGATTCGCAAATTACTATTGCTTGGATACAGAACAAGCGCAGCAAAGATAAGTTCGTCAGAATTAGAGTGGAAGATATCAATAAACTAATTCCCAATGTCAAATGGAATTACGTTAAATCGGAAGAAAATCCAGCAGACGTGGCTTCAAGAGGGATATCACCGCAAGCTCCTAAAATCTGTGAAATTTGGTGGAGAGGGCCGAATTGGCTACCTATAGATGCACAACACTGGCCCACTCAAAAGGAATCGGAAATTGTTGTGGTATCCACATTGATAAAATCCGAATATCTGCAAAATCATCTTTTATCGAAGTATTCATCGATCGACAAACTTCTTAGAGTAATGGCGAATGTATTACGCTTCATAACAAAGCTGAGAGGAAGATCGCAACAGCCGTCATATCTTACGGTGGAGGAATTAAAGCTAGCGAAGATTGCTGTGGTAAAGATACAACAACAGCTAGATTTTGGACACGAAGTCAGACTACTCAAAAACAAAAGACCATTAGACCCAAAGAGTAAGTTACAGGCGCTAAATCCTTTTTTGGATAGTGATGGCGTACTTCGAGTTGGTGGACGACTACAAAACGCAATGATACCGTATAATGTAAAACATCCAATTATACTGGATAAGTCACATTTGACTTGGTTAATTGTAAAGGATTCTCATAAAGAAACTCTGCATGGCGGAATTAACATTATGAGAACTTATATTCAGAGGTTGTTCTGGATATTTGGCATACAAAATTCCTTAAAGAAATATTTAAGGGAATGTATTGTATGCATACGATACAAGCAAGAGATGTCCAGTCAACTGTTGGGAAATTTACCAGTTTATCGAGTAACGGCTGATTACTCGTTTCAAAATACTGGAATCGACTACGCCGGACCGTTCCAGATTCGCTGCTCAAAGGGAAGAGGTCAAAAAACTTATAAGGGATACATTTGCGTATTTCTTTATATGGCAACAAAAGCGATACATCTGGAAGCTGTTAGCGACCTTTCATCAGACAAATTCCTGGAGGTTTTTCGACGGTTCTTTGCAAGACGAGGCAAGAGTGATAACATATACTCAGATAATGGAACAAACTTCGTAGGAGCTTCAAGAGTATTGGACAAAGAATTTGTAGCTGCCATTAAAAACAATAATGAGTTAGCACCTACACTAGAAAAAGAAGGCATCAAGTGGCACTTTATTCCCCCGGAAAGCCCGCACATGGGAGGTTTATGGGAAGCCGGTGTAAAATCAGTGAAGCATCACCTTAAACGAGTTATTGGTGAAAACAGCTTTACATATGAAGAACTTGCATCGCTGCTATGTCAAATCGAAGCAGTGCTAAACTCGCGCCCATTAGTCACTGTAACGAGCGAAAACGGTGGTGAGGACATATTAACGCCGGGTCATTTTCTGGTGGGAAGACCTCTAATTGGAGCTCCTGAACATTTTGACGAAAGTAAGACAATCAGCTCTTTGGATAGATGGAAGCTTATTCAACGCATCAGAGGTGATTTTTGGAAGAAATGGAAAGAGGAGTATCTGGTGTCATTGCAACAGCGAACCAAATGGCGCCAAGTAAAGCCAAATCTGAAGGAGGGACAGCTGGTTCTTATAAAACATGAGAACACTCACCCTGCAAGATGGCCAATGGGAAGAATCATTAGTACGACTAAAGGACAAGATGATAAAGTCCGGGTAGTCACGGTTAAAACAAGCGATGGGGAAGTAAAAAGATCGCTAAACATGATCTGTCAACTTCCTGTTAGCGAAGCAAAACCAGCTGGAGCTGCAACGCCATCTATGACGGAGTCAATGCAGCTACGCAAGGACAGGAACGCTAAGCTACGCTTAGGCAGCGAGTTCCAAAAGGCAAAAGGAATGGCACTGGAAGCATAGCTACTGTGCTATGCTGATTATTGATGTTGCAAGCTACAACTGCGACAGAAAATTCGGAAGAAATTTCCAAAGAACTTGGGAAAATTTACGACGCAAAAGCTGCAGTTATGGTGAACAAAATTGGTAAAATTGAAGTCGCTTCATCCAGTTGGCAATTATTGTTTTATTATGACATGCAAGCCTATTTTGATGTAATAAAACAATCAGAGGACTTCCTGGAAAAATCCCGCTTGGTTTGCAAAAAAATGGGAGACTTCAAGGACTACTGCGATTTCTTCGGCACGACAATACGGACAAAAATTGACAACATAAAAGAAAAAGACAAAATACTACGGCACCGTACCAACCGAAAGAAAAGGTTTATACTGTTCTTTGATATCGGAAATGCAAATAGAATACAGGAAAATATGCAAACGATCATAAAAAAAGAAAAACATCTAATGGAATATGTTGACAATCAGACCTCGGTCATCAATGCCACGGAAGAATTAGTAAGAGCAACTACGATAGAAGCAAACCATGAAGGAGCACTTTATGGTATATAAGGAGTCAATTAAATTCCTTATGTTATCAAATCAAGTGCGAAACTGGATTGAAGAGGCAGAAAGCCTACAAGCAACAGCGATCTCAATGATAACGGACATTAGTGAAGGAAGAATTCATCCTACACTAATTGCGCCTAACAAAATGCTGGAGGAGCTCGAAAAAGTTAAGCAAAAATTAGGACGAAAACAAATGCTACCGGGTGGAAATTCAGTTATACAATTACCACTGATCTATAAACTGATGAAGGCACAAGCTATGTTGAAGGATAATGTCCTATTCATTGCAGCAAAATTGCCGATATACAACAATCAGGAAACGGATCTCTTTGAAGTAATCCCAATACCACTGTGGACAAAGGGAACAAAGCTTATTCCGAAATTGAATTCTAAATATTTTGCGTTCAATACAGACATAAACGCATATCACCTAATGTCTGAAATGGAAATTAACCAATGCAGACAAGAGGATTCGACAACATGGCTTTGCGAATGTAATTGGGCATGGAAAAACGCGGATGATCATCTCCATTGAAACCAAGCAAGGCACACTCATGCGAAATGATGGAATTCCAAGGCAATTCGTTCATCAAAGAGATAAGTGGATCCAACCGTTGGCTATTTAGACTGTTTCGGAATACAACAGCTAATATAAGATGCAACGAACAGCATCAAGTTATAAGACTGCCCAATCAAGGCATTATACAACTACTTGCAGGATGCACAGCAATATTAGGGGATACAACAATAATTACTCCTCAAAAAGTAATTTCGACAGCGTCTGAAATGTCTATCTTCCCCAGTTTACGAATTATAGATGACAAGGAGACATGGAACGTGGTCCCGCTGAAGCACTTGATTGTCAACAACACTAATGAACTGCAAAATCTTCAAATGCGCATCAAGACTCTGAAAAATAGCAAAGTACACATTGATGACTTGATTTTCCACACGGCAAGCGGACACTCGGCCCTAGCGTTGACAACGATTATTATAATTATAATGGTCATTTATATCCGGAGGCAACACATAAATGAGAGACAACTACTGGCCATACATTTCCCACAACCACAAACATAGATTTAAGATAAATCTCAGCTGCATTGACCAACGCAGACTGCAGCGTCTTACAAGGGCTGCATTATATAATTAGATGATAAGAACCTATGTAAGAATGAATAAAAGGCGATGCCCTCGCAGTAGCGAGTCAGTTAGATTCAAACACCCGAATTGAACTCATTAAGTGTACGCATTAGTTTATAGTGTGATCACCTATGGTAACCGATTCGAAACATGGTCATTACAAAATATCGCTCGGTTGCTTGTGTGGGAGTTTTTTTCGATGGCAACGCGTGCCTCTTTGTTGTTCTTGTTACTGAAACGTAACAATTGCACTCAAAGGTACTACGACCCAAACTTAACCGGTTTAAAGTTATTTTATGTTTGTCTGCTTTTTTGTTATTTCCTTCTACTGCGCCAATCCACACTAGTAAACCTCGAAAATCAAACACAAACTCTTTCTGTTGCCATTCGATATGAGGGTTTGCAGCCGAATCTGTGAGCGAGGATATGTTGCGTAGCCAATAAAAAGTTAATCACTGCAAGAGAGCGGTAGGAATTAAGAAGCTGTATAATGCCGACAAATTTATAGCTTGCCTGAGTACTTTCTCTGCAAATCCAAGAAAAACAAGAGTTCCCCGACTATCAGATACCCGTTACTCAGCTAGTGGAAGTGCTAACGAAAAATTTCAAAATTTTCTGGAATATAGATAGAAATTGGGGAAAAATAATAAAATTAAAAACAAATTAACAATTTTTCAAAAGTGTGGGAGTGACAATGTTTGGCGGATCGTGGGCGTTAGAGTGGGCGTGGCTAAACGTTTTTTGGCAAATCTATAGAAGTTTGCAATATATACAACCATTTTGTTGTATTTTGCTAAGTTAAGACTGAAATCATTTTTGACTATTCCGCAATGTTAAGAAACAAATTAATATAATAAAATTATTTTACCTCTGTTTCAGGTGACCAAAATTTTGTGTTGGGATACAATTAACCACAAAGTATATTTTTTGGCTACTCAAGACAAAAAACCTGGGCAACGGCACTTGTATTCTGTTCAAGATCCAATACATGATGATATAAGAAAGTAAACAAAACATTGTGGATCATGTACTCAAATATATATTTATTTTTTTTTTAATTAATAGAATTGAACCACAATGCATAACATGTGATTTGGGTGAGGATCTTTGGAGTAGTCGATACTATTATACAAACTGCACACATTTTGAAGCCTTCATAACACCAACATTAGGTGTTGCAACGAACTATGGAATTGAGTTTTACATTTTGGAATGCCAAGGTCCAGGATTACCTGTATCAGGAGTACATATGCAGACTACTCACGGTTTAGTCAAAATTTTGTATGATACACGGCCATTTTATACAGAGAAGTTGCAAAAGCTGGCTTTACCAACCCAGCGATCTTTTGAAGTGGCATTACCCCATGGAGGACGCGCTCAAGTTCAATTATTACTTCCTCCCAGCTGGAGAGAGGAGTTACGTGATGCTGCTTTCCCAGTTATTGTTGAAGTGTACGTACTCAATGCTTTAAGCTATTTGTATAAGCTTTCAGAAGTCATTACAATTACAATTAACAGTCATATCCAACATTTATGTGTGCCATCTGTAAAATTAGTGGATTTCTGAAAAACGATTCGATCATAAAATTGTACATTACCACAGCATTCATGGCTTTTTTCGGCCTTGAAAACTTAGGGTTTTCACCTTTTAAGAATGAACTTGATTTTGTTTAATAACTTTTAAAAGTTATAGTACATTCCTAATGCTTTGATATTCAAGAGGACCACTAACTCTCTCACTTTCCTTCTGTTGTTATTATGTTGTCCGACGCTTTTGAGGTTGAAGAACTGCGTAAGAATTTTATTCTCATTTTACGGTATTTTGTTCCGGCTTTCATAGCGGACATAACGGATTTGAGGGTCAATTATAGGATTGCAATTATGGCTTCTTATTGTAACCATGTCGCGGTACAGATATCAAGTATCTCTGAATCTTACCTAAACTCTAACATTCTTCGTACATGCAACCTAGGGTTCTATATACAAAATAATGTGGTTCACCACATGGAACCAAACAGTGTTACCACCTGGTTGCATTAGTTCACTTCTGCTTTTTCATGAACTAGAGTTATTGAAGATCGTTTAACCAAATGCCGGACCGTTTAGCAATATAGTGGTATTTTTTTTGTTCCCGTTGACTGGATGGCCTCACTTTAAAGTGTTTACACTGTGGCGGCCCATCGCTACAAATAACATTAAATAGAAACAGATAGAACATTCCAACAAAAAGATTTTAAATGAAAAGGCACACAGGTGTATTGCGGTATATTGGGAGCTTTGTTGTCGTTAAAGTGTGCGTGGCAACATTTGGAAACAACCTTACGCTGCGTCTATGTCTCTAAAATCTGCATGATATGCAAATCTAAATTTTACCTTTAATGTAAAGAACAAAATCCATTAACAGTTGCGGTCAGGAGGGAGTCTATATTAAAACCTTCGTGTAGCTGTTATTACTCGCAGTACAGCAAATATCCTCCATATCTTCCGCAAGGGCTTAATTTCAACCGGAACCGGAACCGGAACTAGTGCAACTCCAAAAAGACTTCCGAAGGTATTCATTCACTTTCTCTCTTTTTTCTAAAGATAATGGGAGTTCCGATTATGAGAAATATTTTGAAATATCATACAAACTGTTTATCGGGTAATGTAGCGAGCTAAGTTAGGTTGTGCAATTTTCTCTGAAGATAATGGGAGTTCCGATTATGAGAAATATTTTGAAATATCATACAAACTGTTTATCGGGTAATGAAGCGAGCTAAGTTAGGTTGAGCAATTTTGTTGTTAACTCCTCCCTCCCTAATTTCTGCTTGTCCTCAAGCAGGCAGTTTTTTTGGTTGTACCTCCTTTGGTTTATTCCCTTGGTCAAGGTCCTTGATTTGCGAACTAGGGGCCATCTGTAGTATAATATTCTTCTTTTTTCGACCGTACTAACTAATTAATAAAACCAGTCCAAATAGCGAGATGAGGGTGACCCGATTTATTGTGGTTTGAACATTTAGGTGATTTAGATGTTCAGTGTTGTTGATGTGGAGCTTCAAGTGATTTTTTAGTGATTTTTCTTCTGCTGGCGTTATTTGGATGATCGGGTTCCCGGTTTCATTACAGTTACTTCTATATTTTCAAACTCCTTATCATTTACAAACACAGTGTCGTTTGAGAAATGAATTAAGTATGTGCCCACTAACTTGGTATTGGTGTCTTTCCAAGTGACTGTTCCGTTGAAATTGTTAATTATTATTATGCCGTCGCCAACTCTTTCTATCTTGTTTATATGGTCAGCGTTGCTAAAGTTGCATGCTGCTTTCTTTTCCAATCTGTTTTATTTAAATTAACAATTTTAAAAAAATAATAAAATTAACAATAAAATTAACGAAAATTTCCTTTTCGTTTAGATGCACTATGACATTATTTTTTACAACAGGTGTTCTGATAATTTAATTCTTCAATTTTGGGTACTTTTACAATATAAATGAGTGTAGTTTTATTATTATTATTATTATTTTATTATCTGAAAATTCCAACATCTCTTCAATGGACAATTGTGACAATTTACCGAATTTGAATATTTCATCAACTTGTTTTAACTCTTCTTTACTTAAAAGCAATGTATTTACTATATTCAATCTTGTCCATTGTGTTGCATATTTAATATTATTGATTTCTTCCTTTATAAGCCTAGCCTGGTTTTGTAAGCTTATCGCTATTTCATTACTTAGGAAACTATTCTTTTTTATTGAATTTGTAAGATCGTTTGTTATTTTTGTTAGTTTATTAAGTCTTTGCTCAAGCTGCCTATTGATTATAACGTGTTCGTTGTTGTTTGAAATTATATTGTTAAGTGTTTGTTCTATTGTAACTAAGTCATCGTGATCAGGGCTTCCTGCCACCTACTTCCAGGCCGAACCGATGCAATTAATAGATCTAGTATGACGTGTATTAAAATTTGAAGTAATAGTGTGGTATGCAGTGAATGTTTGAGTTATTTCATGGTGTAGTGTAGGGTACAAACTGTTAATTTTTAATTCATTTTCAATGTAATAGGATAATTTGTCATGTGTATGGACTATTTTTATGGTGGAGGTTCTTATTTTTCCTATCCCTTGGAAGATAGAAATTGTTTGGGCATCAGTATAATTGGTACTTCTACGAATCCATCTGTTTTGGTCAGGCTCCCAAGTAATAATAATAACCTGAAAAATTATGAATTTCTTATATTACTTTTGTGAACTATTTTTCCCGATTCTGTAAGAATTGTTGTGTTCCTATCCTCTTTTACTGTTTCCTTTTGAAATCTAGCAGTTAGCATAGACCCTAGCCTTGTATTCTTTTTTACGAAAATTTCTTGTCCTGGTAAATAGCTTTTTATTTCTTTCCTTGTCTTATTGTGAGTTTCTAGGTTCTTTAATTGTTTTAATTTAATTTAATTTAATTAATGTTTAATTTTGTCTATATTATCTTGTCTACTTTTTTCAAATTGTTCGGGGTTTGTAGTAATATTTCTTCCAAAGAATATGTCCAGTGGTCCTTTTTGCGTCACTGAGTGAACGGTATAATTGTATTCGTAGATAGCTCTATCGATTAATTCTTCGAATGATTTATGTTCTTGTTTAGTTTTTAGGCAGCGCATAATTTCTGACAAGGTTGAGTGAAATCTCTCGACCTGTCCATTTACGGAACTTTTGTAAGGTGGGGCCTTAAAGATTTGAATACCTAACTGGTCTCTGAGTATAAAAGTTATTGTAGCGAAATTAAGGGATTTTTCGTTATCCATTACAACGTACTGTGGCACACCATAATAGAATAAAATATCATACAATGATTTTTTAATGTCTTCGATGGCTTTTGATTTTATTATTTTGCCCTGTGCAAGTTTGGAAAAAATATCTATGGCAGTTAGAACTAATTTCTTTTCCGTCAAATAGATATCTATGTGTATTATATGTCCTGGATATTCAGGAATAGGTGTTTAAGATATTTCGGGAATAGTGGGATGTCTATCATATTTTTCTTCTTTACAAACTCTGCACTGTTTTACTAGAGCCGTTATTTTCTGTTTCATCTTGGGAAAGTAAAATTTGTCGCTTGTTTTCTAGGGTATTTCGATGAGCTCTATTATGAATTTGGAGGATTATTTCCTCTTGTTCTGCTTCTGTTGCGAGGTCTTTGACAATTAAAGATGTAAATCTCGATTTAACGTTTCTAAAGTGTTGAGGGTAGATTTTCTGTATTTCTCCCATTATTTTTTCTTCAGTAAAGAATCCGTTTATAACTGATGGTTTAAGAATTAAGAATTTTTTTTAGTATTTTAACAAGAGTTTCACTATCAATACTATCAATACACCTCAATACTCGGAATCAGATATTCTGCAGAACTTTCTGAACTATGCTGAGTAGTAACCGAATTTATTTCATTGATCCTTGACAACGAGTCGGCTACAACATTTTCTTTACCGGGTCTGTAAAGTAATTCATGATTGTATTCTTCGAGAAAGTTTTTCCACCTTTTTACTCTACCGTTTCTATTCCAGTTACTAAGAGAATGCGTTAAGGGCTCATGGTCAGTGAAAATTTTCACCTTTGCTTTACCGTACAGGTAATTTTTGAATTTTTGTAATGCCCATATTATCGCTAGCATTTCTTTCTCGTTTGTTGCCTAATTCTCTTCTGTAGTTGAAAGTGATCTGGACAAGAAAGCGATTGGCTTGTCATTCTGTGATAAAACCGCCCCTATTGCGTAATTGGATGCGTCCGTGGTTAGCTGAAATTCTTTATGATAGTCAGGGTATTGTAATATTACGACTTTAGATACGAGTGCGTTCTTTAGTTTGTTAAATGCCTCTAACGCTTCTTGATTAAGGTCAATTAATTTCTTTGCTGACTCTCTCTTGGACACACGACCATCTTCCCCTCTTAAAAGGGAGCTAAGTGATTTTGCCATCTTAGCGAAATCTTTAACGAATTTTCTGTAATAACTAGCTAAGCCAAGAAATGGTCGTAGTTCTCTCAGCGTTTTAGGCTGAGGATAATTAGCCAATAATATGGCCAACACTTTATTCGGATTTGTCTCGATGCCTTTGTCTGATATGACAAAACCCATGAATTCTACTCTGGGTTTGAAGAACTCGCATTTGTCTAACTGGCTTTTCATGTTAGCTTCTTGCAAGGTTCTGAACATTTTTTCGAGATTTTGGGTGTGCGATTTACATATAATATATTATTTTACCAATATGTTCATGAAGTATATCATCGAGCGCGCGTTGAAATATTGAAGGCGCATTTTTCAATCCGAATGGGAGTCGTACAAACTCATATTTTCCGTTATTTACGGAGAAGTCTGTTTTTTCTATATCAGATTCCTTAAGTGGAATTTGATGGAACCCACTTTTAAGGTCCAAAACTGAGAAAATTTTGTTATTTCCAAGTTGGGCCAGTACCTAGTTTATATCGGGTAAGGGGTATTTATCCGCTATAGTCACCTTGCTAAGTTTCCTATAATCGATGACATTACGATATTTCTTTTCACCTGATGCGTCTGCTTTTTTTGGAACAACCCACACTGGTGAGTTGTATGGTGATCGGGATGGACGAATTATTCCGTCATCCAATAATTCTTTGACCTGTTTGTTCACTTCATCTCTGAGAGGCATAGGGAATTGGTAAAATTTGTAAAACACTGGTGTGTCTGATCTCTGCCTTGACATTTGTGGTGTATGTAAGTCTTTCGTCTGTTTTAGCAAATAGTGTCGGATACTTTATTACTAGTTGGTCCAAGTCTTTTCTTTGTTTATCGGTTAAATGGTCTGTTCTTGGGATAATGTTATTGACTGCTTCATATTTTTTTCCTTTGATCGGCACATTAATCCCATGTTTG